GGTAATGACCAGCTGTGGCCGGCAGAGGCCAGCCGAACCCAATTCTTGACAGTAAATGCGGCTTCATCGCTTCCTTCCAGGTTCCTCTTTTAAAAAAAACAAAAACAGATGTCTTTTTTTTCTGCTCAAGTTTTGCTATGGCAATGTCCACTGCCAGGAAGACAGTGATTAGTTTAATTATAGTACGAGGGGAAGGATTATCTAGCCCTCTTGTCTTACCAAAACCAACCAACTAACAACAAAAAGGCCATTCGTACACATTACATTATATCCAATTTTTATTTTCTAAACATACACAGCCTGGCCTCCTAGACACCTTAATGATTTGGAAATGTGTTGGATGTCAAGATATTGCAAGATACTTTGTTCTTAAAGTTGTAACAGGCTAACGTGGCATTTTCCAACCTTGAAGTCACAGCCTCTGAATGAAAAGACGCCGACGGTGTCCTTTTATCACAGGGCTTCCTCCGGTGCCACGGAACTCTGCAGATGCTCAGGAGCACCTTTCCAAATCTACCCCTCTCTCCCCCACGACAAGAAACGAAGCCGCAGCCTCTCCCCTGACTCCGTTGAAACAGCAGGCGCTGCCTTCCGCCCTCAGCAAACCGGGAACAAAGAAATGTCTGCGTCAGCAGAGAGACTAAAAAGAGGTTGCCATTCCTTAACCACAAAATGTTNATACAGGTCCCGGGGGGGGGGGGAGGAGAAGAGGAGGAAGAGACTGACGAAATTAAAATCTTTCCAAATACCGCTTGGAAAGCTAGTTTGAGAAGGACATTGGTCTGAATACAGTGGTGCCTCGCTAGACAGTTACCCCGCATGACAGTTTTTTTCGCTAGACATTGACTTTTTGCGATCGCTATAGCGATTTGCAAAACAGCGATTCCTATGGGGGAATTTCGCTGGACAATGTTTGGTCCCTGCTTCGCAAACCAATATTCGCTAGATGACGATTTTGACAGCTCCCTCTATGCTCGCAAAACGGGTGTTTTCGGGACCTAAGCTTCGCAAGACAGCGATTTAAACAGCTGATCGGTGGTTTGCAAAGCGGCTTTCCTATGGCCGATCTTCGCTAGACAACGACGATTCTTCCCCATTGGAACGCATTAAACAGGTTTCAATGCATTCCAACGGGGAAATGCTTTTCGCTAGACGATGATTTAGCTAAACAGCGATTTCAGTGGAATGGATTATCATTGTCTAGCGAGGCACCACTGTATTGTGAATCTTGGGAAGACTTTCTGGACTGAAAAAGAGTGCCTCTGAGCATGTACAAATCATCTCCTTCCTAGACACGGACAGGATGGTGCCGACAGTCCTCTGGGCCGTAAAACAAAGATGTTGGGGCAGCAGAACAGTGTTTTAATGTCTTAATTGTCTCTTTATTCGATTCCTCTCCTTTTCTCTGCGACAGATTTGACCTCAACGCCAGCGAAGGAAGATGGTTCGGAAAACAGCTTCGGGGCGCTTGTCTTGATCACAAAGACTTTAAAAGTTTTTGGAACTTCCGAAGGACTTCCTGCCTTTCTCGGCTTGGTTAAAAAGGGCAAACCGCAGAGTCAGGAAACTTGTTTTAAAACGAAACTATGAGAAGACATTGGCGTCAGCTATTTCCGGGTAGCCGTTAGACAGCCCAGCTCCATTTAAGAACTTGAATCCAGGTCTCTCGTCGTTCAGGACTCTAACCACTGGCTCATGTTGTCTTTCACCGCATCCCATACGGACAGAGACAGAATCCAAGCAGCATCCAGTGTCAAAAATGGGGTTGGGGGGGGGAGAGGGACAGACAGAAAATGTGAACAGAGATACCCTACTTGGGACTGAGGTCTACGAAACCATAGGTAGCAGAAATAATGATTCTTGAGAGGAGTAAAGCATTATCTAGAACTGAAGTGTTTTTCCGAAAATAAGACCAAACCTGAAAATAAGCCCTAAGAGGATTTTTCAGGATGCTTGTCATAATATAAGGCCTGCCCCGAAAATAAGCCCCCGTTAAGCGAAACCCCGACCTCCACCCTTGTGCAGCCACCAGAAGAAGAGGACAGGACTGTAAAATAAAACATCCCCTAAAAATAAGCCCTAAGGTGTTTTTTGGAGCCAAAAAATGAATAGAAGACCCTGTCTTATTTCCGGGGAAACACGAAAACGGTCAGAGGGAGAGACCCAACGTGGTCAGAGACTCATTGCCTGACGCTAATTAGTCTACCCGATAGGGTTGCGAGGACGGTCTTGTCCGGATCTAACAAGGCGGAAAAACCAATTCCGACCCCTGCCGTTCGTTTATGGGTTTTTCCCCCCCAAGTGATGCGAATTTGCCCAGCTGAGATAAACGGAGCATCGGCGTTGGGCCGTGGGGAGAGCGCTTGAGATCAAGGCTTAACCTCACCCTTCAGCGATCAAACTCGCCGAGGGATTTCAGATGACTTTCTCGTCCTACCTGGCAGGGCTCTTGGGAAGATAAAAAGCATGGAGACGACGTGCTTTGCGGAGAAGGCATGGATCACCCTGGAGGAATGGAAATCTAACGAAGGAATAATATATTATCTGGGCAACACTCTGCTTAAACTAGGCAGACGTTGGGTCTTGTCTGGGCCGCAGAACAGACCTGTGAGTCTCTCCGGCCTGTCTAACCCACCCCGCTCCCTGGGGCCTCTGTGCAGTCGTTCGGCGGAGGAGGCGAGGCCGTGCGAAGGTGACTCATCTTGGAGGAACCGAGGATTTCGATCCAAGACTAGGAGCCTCACCCGTGGACTTTGGCCTCGTTCGGCAGAGCCCAGGTGATTTGGCCCAGCCAGACCCGAGGAGCGATCAAGCAGGCAAGAATTTGGAGTTGGCACCGCGGGAAGCCGGCCAAGACGACGCCACGTTCGCGCCTTCAGGCAGGATGGCGCCGGGATCAGAGTGCTGGATTCATTGGAGAGAGAGTTGCTAACAATTTTCTTTAAAGGTTTGAAGCGTTTTAGCTTGTTCGAAGGTTTTAGCTTCTTCGAAGATCTTCCTGCAAGATCTCTTGGCACGGGGCAGGTTCTCAGCCCGGCCTACCCCTTTAGGGTCGTCGTGATCATAAAAATAGGGAGGGCCCGTGGCTGCCGCTTGGCACTCCAATGTAGGAAAGGAACGAGGGATGCACACACGTTACTGAGAACGAGCGGGACAGATCACAGATGCTGGTCCAATCCCTTGAAGATTGCAAAATGTGCAGGGGATGCGAAAGACGACCTTCAGACAGAGAAAGTTCTTTCCACAAGTGTAGCTAGAGACGATGGGGACTAAACGTGGGGATTTTCTCCAACAAGCACCGGCTCTAGACCTGTCATTAGCACCAGCTTCCTTTTACTGAGCACTGCTGTCAGTTGCGACCTACAACGCTTCGAAGTGACTAAGCAGAAATCGAGAGGCGCATTTGTTTGCTGGCATAATGCTCCCCGGGTTCGGCCACAGCCTCACGAAAACCAAGATTTGCAGCAACAACGCCTTCGGCTGATAACCTGGGAAGCCCGACACGAGGACGAGAAATGCCAGGGTTGTCATCCAGCAGAAGGATAAGCCCGGTCCTCTCAGGAGACTGGCTGTGAGATTCACGAGGTTGAAAAGAACCTCGGAGGTCTGTAGATTACAATCCTCATCAGCCCCAGCTAGCCCAGTACCGGAGAACTGTAGCCCCAAAACATATCCCCCCCTTTTTTTTACAACCATCGTCAGGAGGATCACAAGCAGCCCTACGCTGATGTCACCATCTTCTTTAAACAAAGGTGGGAGTGTTTCTTTTGCTATGACTGCACCACCGCAGGGTGTCCGAAGTCCAAGCGCCCGTGATATTTCAAAAGCACTGCAACTCCTGCCGGCAAAGACTTAACAAATAAGGAACTGCCTGATTCAAATCACTCTCGGTGGGAGAGAACATTACCGAAAACCATCAGGCAAAACCTTCAGTGAAAGCCCACATCCATTCTGGATTGCAGAGAGGCAGGGTTAGCTTAACGATTGCTAATTTTTTTTTCCACCCCAGCAGCGCTTTGTTAGGTATTAACTATGTTTAGTAACAAGAAAAGTCACATAGGACACATTCTGAATCTTAATGTTCTCCCATTAAAGGAAATTCACGAGAGACACCTCTGGGGCAAAGCAAGCACGCCCAGGGGTAATCTGGCCCACGCGTGGCGCCCTTCTGGCAGCTTCGAGGCTTCTGGGTCCTCAGGATGGCAGTTTTCAGCAAAACCTCCAAGAGGGCGGGGAGGGGGGGAGAATAAAATTCCAGAAGTAAAACTCTGAAAACTGGAAAGTTTGCTCTCACATTTTCAGGCCTGATGCCATCCAGCGTGAGTTGGTCAGGAAACGCGTTAACCGAAGACTTTCCAAAGCTACCTATTACCGCTTTAGAAACAGAGCTGGCTAAGATTATAGAGCCGGGTCTATCCCGTGGTGCCTCGCTTAACGACGATAATCAGTTCCAGGAAAATCGCCGTTAAGCAAAAGCATCGTAAAGCAAAATAAAAAACCCCATTGAAACACATTGAAAAGTGTTCAACGCATTCCAATGGGGTAAAAACTCACCGTCCAGCGAAGATCCTCCATGTGGCGGCAATTTTCGCTGCCTGTATAGTGAGGAAACCGCCCCTAAACACAGTGGCGAGCCATTTTAATTAGCCAGCGGCCATTTTGAAACAGCCGATTAGCTGTTAGAAAACCATCGTTTTGTGAAGAATCGGTTCCTGAAGCAGGGAACCGATCATCGCAAAAAGATCGTCGTAAAGCGGATTTGTTGTAATGCAGGCCAATCGTAAAGCGAGGCACCACTGTATCAGTGTTAAACCACCTACTGGTGGAAGTTGTCCTCCTGTACCCAGGACAGAAGGTATATGAGAGGATTTGTGTGTGGGGGTGTGTGTGCACAAAACCAAGAATTAGCAGCTGGTACACCCAGCCTTGAATTTAACCCACCTTCCTCTCCCAAGTCTGGTGAAAAAGAAAAAAAGAATGACAAATAAGAGTTAGCATTAAATTTTTTTTTATTTATTGAAGGTAACTGGTGCTGCTTCCATTATTTTTGTTAATTCCACCCTCGACATTGAGATGGGTGCAACTATCTCCACAATATCTCATTTATACACAGTACTACGGACAAGCACAAAGCCACTATGGCAGTTAAGGAGGGGAGAGCAGGGTCTCGGGAGGGGAAAGGCTAGGAAACGCAGCTGCCATCCCACATCGTTTTTTTTTCCAAAACACACATACGGAGAAGGAAAAAAAAGACAGAGCGAGAGAGACCGACCAATAAAAAGAATTTACACACCAGGAATGATGGGACTGAGATTCTGGAATGAGGGGCCCTGCCTTAAAAAAATCCTAACCCCCTCCTCCTCCTCCCCCTCTCCAAAAACTGTGGCCAGGAGCAGAGCCCAGGCCACGTGTGGTCCCACAGCTGGAATGGAGGAAGCAGGTGGTCCCACAGAGTAAAAGGAGGCAGCCAAGAAGTGGGAGGGGGAAGCCCCCCCCCAAGGAATGTCGCCTCAACAGCTGGGCAGGGAAAAGGGACAAGGAAGGAGGCCGCTGGAGCTGGTTTGGCAAGTTTCAAGGGCAGCCGCAAGGTCAGTGGCCGCCTGCCCTTTTTCTTTGAAACAGGAGGGGAGCACGGGGGGGGGGAGAGAGTAATAGATGAGAAGGCAGAAAACCGGAACGTAACTAAAAAGGAGAACCCACCCCACATCCCTCCCACCCCACCCCAAAAATGGTAGCACAGGGCCATTAACATGGAAGCTCCGGAGACGCTGGCACGACAGGGGGAAGGGCGGAGGGGGGGGCTTACAAGGGCTTCCCCTCCAAGCTGATGACGCAACTGCCGCCTAATTTCTCTGCCAGGGTGCAGCGATCCTTCACTTCCTCAAAGCAATTTGCTTGTACCTCGTGCTTGATCCCTGGAAGGGCGAAAAGGTTGGGGGGGGGAAGAGAGA